TGGCTCAGAAGAAAAGGGAGAGAAAAAGAAAGAAAGAAAGAAAGAAAAGAAAGAAAAGAAAGAAAGAAAGAAAAATAAAATAAAGTTATTAAAATAAAAAATAAAAATAATTAAAAATTAAGAAAAAAATTAAGAAAAGAGCAACCAAACCAAAAAACAAATCCATCTATGATAACAAGCGCTAAAAACTATACTAAAAAAAGAAAGCAGACAGACAAAACCCTAAGTCAAATGGTAAAAGCAAAGCTATACAGACAAAATCACACACAGAAGCATACACATACACACTCACAAAAAGAGAAAAAGGAAAAAAAAAATATCGTTGTTCCCTAAGTTCACCACCTCAGTTTTGGGATGATTTGTTGTCTATTCATGTATTCCACAGATGCAGTGTACATCAAGTTGATTGTGGAGCTTTAATCCGCTGCTTCTGAGGCTGCTGGGGGAGATTTCCCTTTCTCTTCTTTGTTCTCACAGCTCCCAGGGGCTCAGCTTTGGATTTGGCCCTGCCTCTGCGTGTAGGTCGCCTGAGGGCGTCTGTTCTTCGCTCAGACAGGACGGGGTTAAAGGAGCCGCTGATTCGGGGGCTCTGGCTCACTCAGGCCGGGGGCGGGGGGCGGAGTGCGGGGCGAGCCTGCGGTTGCAGAGGCCGGAGGGATGTTACACCAGCCTGAGGCGCGCCGTGCGCTCTCCCGTGGAAGTTGTCCCTGGATCCCGTTACCCTGGCAGTGGCGGGCTGCATAGGCTCCCTGGAAGGGGGGTATGGATAGTGACCTGTGCTCGCACACAGGCTTCTTGGTGGCGGCAGCAGCAGCCTTAGCGTCTCATGCCCGTCTCTGGGGTCGCGCTTTTAGCCGCGGCTCGCGCCCGTCTCTGGAGCTCCTTTAAGCGGCGCTCTGAATCCCCTCTCCTCGCGCACCAGGAAACAAAGAGGCAAGAAAAAGTCTCTTGCCTCTTCGGCAGCTCCAGACTTTTCCCGGACTCCCTCCCGGCTAGCTGTGGCGCACTAACCCCCTGCAGGCTGTGTTCACGCCGCCAACCCCAGTCCTCTCCCTGCGCTCCGACCGAAACCCGAGCCTCAGCTCCCAGCCCCGCCCGCCCCGGCGGGTGAGCAGACAAGCCTCTCGGGCTGGTGAGTGCCGGTCGGCCCCGATCCTCTGTGCGGGAATCTCTCCGCTTTGCCCCCCGCGCCCTGTGGCTGCGCTCTCCTCCGCGGCTCCGAAGCTTCCCCTCCGCCACCCGCAGCCTCCGCCCGCGAAGGGGCTTCTAGTGTGTGGAAACCTTTCCTCCTTCACGGCTCCCTCCCACTGGTGCAGGTCCTGTCCCTATCCTTTTGTCTCTGTTTATTCTTTTTTCTTTTGCCCTACCCAGGTACATGGGTGGTTTCTTGCCTTTTGGGAGGTCTGAGGTCTTCTGCCAGCGTTCAGTAGGTGTCCCGTAGGAGTTGTTCCACAGGTAGATGTATTTCTGGTGTATCTGTGGGGAGGAAGGTGATCTCCGCGTCTTACTCTTCTGCCATCTTGAAGGTCTCTGACTGTTCATCTCTTACTCAGAAAATTTTAGGTATTTTAATTTTATCCTGTCCCACCCCTGCTGTCTCTGAAGTTCATAAGAAAAGTACCCATTAAAGTATGATCCTAGCACAATTTTTTTTCCTGGAGAGGAATTTACTTGACATCCCTTAACTTATTCAAATTTTACTTTTATTTTCTTCCAGTTCCACTTAAATCTGTATCTTAGTGGTACTCACATTAACATGTGGGTTTGGAGTTCTTCTCCGACTCTGCCCCCTTGTGCTGTATCCATCTTTTCTTGCCAACATCAGCTCTCAGCCCTCCCGGCCTCCATGGAAAAGGAAGGCAAGGAAAGCTGAAGGGCAACCTGGCCTTTTCCTTTTCCTCCCTCATCTGCTTGGCCCTTTCCTTCCGTGACTCCGTACCTGGCCTCAAGGCTCTGCACTGTCTGACTCTTCTTCCCGTCTCTTTTTCTTCGTTTACTCTTGCTGCCCGAGTGTTACATCACTTTAATTTCTCTTTCTGGTCTTGAAGATTAATACAAGTTCCATTTTTCTCTGCCCTTATTTGAGGACGGGTAAGATGATGTGACTGAAGACCTGGGAGAGAAATACAGTATAATTACTTTCAAGTAGAGAAACCCTCCCGAGGGAAGAAGGGACAGAGCTGTGTGTCTTGGAGGATCTGATACTTTGTAATGTCAGATGGGAGTTACTTATAATTAGTATGTTTGTTCTTTAAATATAGTGATAAAGGCATGTGCCATTGGGTTAATAGTCACCTGTTACAAAATTAATTTGCCTAACAAAATTCAATTTATCTTCCTATATACCTGTAATGTCTGCTTTTATGGTCTACAGAGATTTTTACGTAGCTCTTTAAATCACCCACAGTGAAGTTTACTATAAAAAGGCCTTTTCCTTCTTTCCTTTAAAGTATATTCTTTATCTGCCATGTGCAAGGCACACTGTGAATGGAGACAAAGGAGGCTGTGCTCTTTAGGGACATAACAAATGATTATGACAGTTATTCAGAGCTCAGAGGAGTTTATTGTCTTAAGGTGGAAGATGGATATTTATTGAGATACTACAAGGGAGAATATTTATTCAGATATTTACTCAGATACTCCCAGGGGAGATGTTTATTCAGATACTAGTGGGGAAACCCCTAGGATGGGGAGAGGAAGGTTGAAGAGGTACAGCAGTGCCGAGCACACGTGGCCTGTGTAAGGGACTGGTTTTGGGGCCTTTGATGGGCAAGCCACATCCTTGACTCTATGTTTTTTCAGTGTTTGAGGCAATGAGAGTTTAGAGAACTATGTATAGTCTGCCCATCACAAATCTTAATTCCGTTATCATCGAATACCAATTACCTCTCAGTTTTCCAATAGATGTCTTATCATCGAATGCCAATTACCTCTTAGTTTTCCAATAGATGTCTCCATGTCACGAATTCCATCAGCCCTTCCTGGCCTCCCGAATCCAAATAAAACATTAAAGACCTAAGTGTAAGAATGGAAAGGAATTGCCTAAAATCTTTATCACCTGTGGTCAGAGTATGTCTTTGGCTTAAATGCACTCCTATAGGGCCCATGCTAGGACTGTTTTTGGTTTCTCTTCCCAGGACATGTTCTGGAATGTAATTTAGGCCCCTTACCATTTTCTTTCCATCTGTAAACCCCCATGTTCGTTTCTCTGCATAGAACCCAGAATCCTCTATCCAATCCCAGCACTGTCTTTCTCTAATGATTCAAAATTATAAATTATAGCACACACATATAACATATTAATGAAATATCCACTGTGTGTTCACATAAGAGGTGTCAGTGGGTAGAAGAGGAGAGAAATTGCTCTATAATTGAAGATGGAGGCTTTGTGGCATCTTTTAAATCTAATGGTTATCATTAAGCCTCTTCTCTGCTCAACGTTCCTTCCTTACTATGTACTATTTAGGTACACAGGTGACATTTTTCTATTGTATCCTGCTGGTAAATACTATGATTCACGTTTTAAACTCTTTCTAGTCTTAGAAAAGAGCCCAGAGCACTAAGACCTACGTTTACTGATGGTAAGGAGTACCAGCTCGTTAGTTTTTTTTCATTTTAAAAAAATGTCCACTTTAACTTTTATTTTAGGAAAAGAGGCTCCTTCAGAGTTGTTGCTTTTAGAAGATTCCAAGGGGCCTAATGAGTATCCTAGTGACACGTCTGATGAAATAGCTTTAGCTTAAGGATTTTAGCTGGAAGTGAATTTTAAACGGTCGTAAGAATAAAGCTTTATAAGTGTTAATAAATGTAAACAGTGTTGAGATATACAGAGTTTTAGAAGACAGAGATTGAGGCGATAAGATCAGGCCCAGAGGTTTTTTTCCCAAAAGCCACTAGTGTTTTGCTAAGTTTGCAGTTGTCTGTGACACAGCATGATAAATGTGATATTTGACTTATGCAACTGTTTTCCACGTTGAGGAAAAAGAACATGTAAATGCTTGAGAGTCAGTGAAGTGTGATGAAAAAGAAAAACTCTTTCTTGGGAATCAGGAGAGAGGAAGGTTTATCCAAGATTTTCCACAAACTTCAGTTTAATTGTGAGTTTTTGTACAAGACCTTTTCTGTCTCATAGTTTCTTCATCCGTCTAAATGGGGGCTCATCACCCCTCAGTCCCAGTAGTTACAATCGAGCTGTGGGACTTGTTGGACTTGTGATGTGTGCTCGGTGCTGCACTGGCAGCGATGTCACACGCATCCTCTCATTTAATGGTCAGCCTCTCGAGTCATCATAGTTTAGCAGCTTTGCAACATGGGTTCGTAGCTCCAGCTCGCGGCACCGAGGCCATGGTTCCCGTGTGCCAGCCTCTAGATCGATGTCCTTCCATCAGGGATTTCTTCCCCATCTGTGGGGAATAATAATGAATGGATCATGTTGTGAAATTTTCTTAAAGCTAAAGATATTATATTCAATAACTTCCTTTTGTTATTAAAAATACGTTATTCGGTTTATGAAATAATAGTGATAGTAGAAAGCTCTTTTATAGGTCTCTGCTTATCAAAATAAAACATATGCACGTCTTTGTTGGTCCTCTTCTCCCGTCCCTTTTTACTCGTTTGTAGCTATAAAAGCCTCCCAACACTTGGCTTAAGAAATACTGTCTCAAACCAAATTGGCATGTGCACCTGCCAATTTTAAGAGCAAAGCTACTAAAATATGAAGGGAAGGATGGTATTTTTTAGATATTTAGCAATAATTTAGAGCTTACATTTGATCTAGTGGCAATGCTATCCTATATGTGGCAGCTTCATTCTGATTGAACATCATCTACATTGGGTTTTTACCTGTGAATATTTAACTTTTGGCAGGAAATATTTTTTAAGGAACCCTGGAAGGATATCCTTTCCCACCTTTCATTAAAGCCCTGGGTCAGGAATCACCTTCATTGTCATTTGTTGGTCCTCTTCAGTGCTTATAGTGCTTTGCTTTACTTTTTCCTTAGTGATACGAATGAAGTTGACATCCCACCCAACACTCGAGTTGGCACCAAACGCTATATGCCTCCAGAAGTGTTGGATGAGAGCTTGAATAGAAATCACTTTCAGTCTTACATCATGGCGGACATGTACAGTTTTGGACTCATCCTGTGGGAGGTTGCTAGGAGATGTGTATCAGGAGGTAAGTGACAGCGATACTGTTGGAGCTACTACAAATCCTTTCTTTCTGATCAGAAATCAGAGTTATCTTGTTTACAGAATCAGGTTTGATTTGATTTTCCCCTTTATTTCTGTTCACGCAGTCTCAGTCCTCCCAGGAAACGATATTTAACCTCTTAGAATTATCTTTGACTGCCTCCTTCCCTTCGCCAGCTACTGATGAGTCTCTTCCAGAGCTTCCTCTTGCCTTTTCAGAGATCACCCCCTTCCACCATATGTGTTTTCTCCTTTCTCTCTTGAGCTCTTCCTCCAGCAGTTGCTCCATCAAGTCAGACCCCCCTCTCCTGCCCCTTCCAGCTTCTTCCTACCAACCTCCTGGCTCCACCCCCAACATTGGTGACGCTTTCCCTGTGGCTTCCTGTGCACAGATGAAGGGAGACACAGAAATGTAGGGCGGGGCACCCATTGTGGAACCCCTCTACTTCTTGACTTTCTGTAATACTTCCTCATAAAGCAGTTTGAAAACATCAGTTTGTATCAAAAGGAAGTTAAAGCATAAGAATATCATTATTGTTCATGATAACTTTTCTTCAAACGTAAGGATTCCCTAGTAAGACTAAGAAGACATTCTTAAATATTCAGAGGTAATATTGTTGCTTGTAGTATTTTGCTTACTGCTGCATGATCTGTTTTTGAGTAGGTGAGGGGCTGAGTTGCAGGCTCTTCGGTATCAAGCGCCCTGTTTATGCCTCTACTCATGGTTGTGCTCGTTGAGAAACCTTGACACTGCTGCCTTTCCTCATGACGGCTAGTTCCTCACGTTCTCAAAAAGTTGAGCTTGTCCAAGAGTGTGAAAGTGCAGCATGCACTTAACTAGTAGGGAGATTCTTTTTCTTGGAGCTGCCATTTATTATCTGTAAACCTTTGACAGGTTACTAAATTTTTCTTTGTTTCAGTTTTTTTATTGTCAGAAAGAGGTGAATTATTGGATCTACCTCAGATGGTTGTGAGGTTTCAGTGATTGGAGAAAGAATTAAAACTGCCTGGTGTATAACTAGCACTCAGTACATGTTAGCTATTATTTTAAATTTTCATTTTGGTTGGTAGAGACTTAACTTATATTTAGACTAATATTTAAATAGGAAGGAGAAACAGTAAATCAACAGGCATTCACACTTTTGTAGAAAGATCATCATCAATGATGTCATGCCTTCTAATCACTCTGGGAATTCTGTGCCTCTTATGCACATTTTAAAATAGAACACATTCCCTCTAAAGCAAGAGAAGTCTTTAGTCCAAAAGGAAAGTTAATGTATGTAGGAAAATTTTCCTAACCAGATATTCTATAAATCTCCCATCATAATTATGATCTCATGCTTTATTAAGAATAAATGAGCCTATTTTTGAATAATATGCCTACACTTATTTTATTGGCAAGTTTATAGAAGTTAAAGGAGTAGTAAAGTACAAGATTACTTTTCTAATTATGTTTTCCTAAACATCTAAAGTGAATAGGGCTACAGGAGGCCTATATTTGAAAACCTGAGGAGGACCGGAATAAAGGAGAAATGATTCTCTGCTTAAAAAAAAAGCCAGCCTTATGTAAACAGCAGGACATTAATTGCCTTGCTAGGGCTGTCTTTGCCTGTGGAGGTTCAAGAGGTACTAAAATGTTACGTTTGGTACTAAAATGTATGAGATTGATGTATATTTGTCAGAGATTCCCAGCTCTACCTCATAGCAACTGTATGGCCTTGGGCAAGTTACTTAATCCTTCGAAGCCAACTTTCCTCATCTGTAGAGTGTGTATAATAATGCTATCTCATAAATGTGTTTGTGAGAATTTAATAAGATAAGTTATATAACATACCTACCTCCATGCCTGGTAGATAGTAGACTCGCAATAAATGAGTTTCTTTTCTCTTCCAGGGAGGCAAAGCACACAAATTCTATTCTCTAACACTTTCCTTTATGGAGATATTGCAAGTTTGGGGGCTCATCTTTCTAGTCCAGGTACTTTTGGGTGAAGTAGACACATCCAGCTGTAGGCCTTTCAAACTTTGGAAGCAAAAGAAAGTTTTGAAGTTTCAAACACAAAGGCAGCAGACGTGGAAAATTTTGATAACTTAATTGCACGGTAAGGAGAAAGGCGTAAGGCCTAGAGTTCAAAGACAGACTTAGATTAGTTGATAATTTTGTGTGGTTGGCTCTATATCTGTTTTCATATATGCACCTACCCCACCATCCATGCATTAGTCCATCCAGATAATGGCACCAACATTAGGCACTGAGGGAAATTTGAGATAAATTAGATTGACATCATCCTTTCTCTCAAGATGTTTCCTGAGCCATTGTCTTGAGAATTAGAAAAGGAGGAAGAACGGGAATGAAGTGAGCATCTCCTATCCATTAGACCTTGTGCTTTCATTATCTTATATAGAGATGACACAGAGTGGAAGGAAATAGTAACATAGATAATACATATAATTATGCTCTGTGATCTCAGCAGGGGACAGAATAAATGGTGAGTTGGAATGGTCTGAAAAAAGTTTCAAACCTTAGGGTCCTTTATGATTATAAATGGGTTTGAGTTTACAAGAAAGGACATAATACAGGCTCCAGATTTTTTTTACAGTAAACCCTCAGTGAATTTTATGATGTAGTGTATTATCTTCCGACCTGGTGGTATCTGTCGTGGTCCAAACACATTGGAAAAGAATTTCCAGACACAAGGCAGAATGTAAAGAAGATAGAATTTATTAGAGGGAAGGGTCGCTGCCAGAACAGCGGGCAGACTGCCTAGTAGTCTGGGAGAGTCGAGCCTGAACATGTGCTATTGATCAGTTTTTATAGCCAGAAAACAAAGGAATGGTCCGAGGTGAAAATTTTGTTTACTGACTGGTTAGAGACACATGTACCTTCCTTCTGTAGGGTGGGAGTGGGACAGGGCATATGCCTTTCCTTGTTTGGGACAGGTCCTGTTGCCCAGGTGGGCGTCGCCCAGGTGGGCTCAGGAATTTCGTAACCATGGCAACATGGTGGGGAGGGCGATTAAGAGTCTGGTAGGGGGTGTACCGCTGAAAGTTTTTCAGGCAGGGTTGTCCTTTGTCCTTGAAGCACCATTGTCTTTGGAGCACCACAGTATCATCTTGTTCAGATAAAAAGCAATGAAATTTCTATAAAAGATGATTTAGCATAGGGAGAAAGGGTTCTCTGGAAAGATTGTTCAGAGCAGCATCCTCTGAGGACAGAGGCTGCTTATAATTACTGTGAGGAGTTACTCAAATAAGGTCAGAAAGAAGACACAGGTAGCCTGCTATTTTAAAGGACAAGAGGAAAAAAGGTAGAAATTAGATACTAGGGAAATGAAATAGGATAGAATTTAGCATGATAAGTACCTTTCCTTAAAGATGACATTCTTTTGTATTTCTTAACCGTTCTTTCAACACAACATTTTTTTTTTCTAATAGTGATATATTTCTTGTAGACAGTTCAGATAGATGCAGGAAATTTAAAGAAGAAAAATCAGACAGTCATTGCACCTAAAAATCATGGTTAATATTTTTAGGTGTGTATAGTTTTCCAAATTTTAAATGTGCAAAAATGCATTCTTATGATTAAGCAGAAAAAATGTAAATCTGACATTTTGTTCAAGTAGTATACACTGCCAAATTTATTATGAGGTTCATAAGCACATGCTGCAGTAGTAGAAATAGTTACATATTGTGCAGTATGCATTTGGGGTGTGTCTGGCAAATTTGCAACGAGATTTAATATAGATTTTAAAACGTTGGCGCACAGTACAAGAGCCTTTATAAAATCAGAAGTAAACTTGAGATGCTTGTTTACTTAGCTTTTGGAAGTTAGAAAAAAGGCTTGAAGTCATATAATATGTTTCATTATGCTTTCTTTTCATTTTTAAAAATTAGATCGTATCGTTTGGGCACATTGTTTTCAAGGTTGTTGCTGTTTTTGCTTTTGTTTTCGCTGTTTTTCAACCTGAACTTGTCTTTGGTACCGATAGAACTTTCCTTAGAGAATAGTTTATTTGTTAGACTTTTATTTCCTCTTCACAGAAAATAATAACGTTAATGAAACCATATTTTCAGGTATAGTGGAAGAATATCAGCTTCCCTATCATGATCTAGTGCCCAGCGATCCCTCTTATGAGGACATGAGAGAGATCGTGTGTATCAAGAAGCTGCGTCCCTCCTTCCCCAACCGGTGGAGCAGTGATGAGGTGAGGCTGTAGGTCACCATGTGGTTGTGACCAGTGTCAAAACAGACTTTTCTCCTTTTGCCAAAATTCCAAATATTTATCACAGGAATTCTTTTTCTTTGCTGTGATGGTAAGGATGCCTCATGGCAGTAATTTATATGGAGCTAAGTGCAGTGTGTTAAATTATCTGTTCCTTTCTCCTGTTTGATTTTGCCACTTCCAAAATACATTGAATGGGTCAGCATTTAGCCTGCATAATCGATAACATTATTTCATTTGTTGGTGATGTCCTGACACTTGCATAAAGGCCGTTAAATAACTGCACGTGTGTTTGTAAAGCATCATGAATTTTCTCCATGACAAACTCACGTACAGCATTCTCCCGTTTTTTGTTTTTTTTTTTTTTTAATAATACACAATGTATTTATTTATTTATTTATTTATGGCTGTGTTGGGTCTTCATTTCTGTGCATGGGCTTTCTCTAGTTGTGGCAAGTGGGGGTCACTCTTCATCGCGGTGCGCAGGCCTCTCACTATCGCGGCCTCTGTTGTTGCGGAGCACAGGCTCCAGACGCGCAGGCTCAGTAATTGTGGCTCACGGGCCCAGTTGCTCCATGGCATGTGGGATCTTCCCAGACCAGGGCTCGAACCTGTGTCGTCTGCATTGGCAGGCAGATTCTCAACCACTTCGCCACCAGGGAAGCCCATTCTCCCGTTTTGATGAGAGAAAAGTAAGGCATCTGAAGAATTCGGTTTTCTATACACAGAAGTGGTACAAGTTGACCTAGTTGAGATGCCCGACTGTGCTGTGGATCTTCGTCAATAAGGATCCTGGTGAAACCTAACCAGATCTAACAAGGAGCTGCCCAGAGGAAGGAGTGAGCCGGCCAACCTTGCCTTTCCTGCCCCACCTGCCCTCTGAGCCTCTAAACCTGTCCAGGAACATTCAGAGAGGAGTTTGAAGCATCCGTGAAAAAAATGTACCAAAGTCAGTGCAGACAAGTGGACAGAACACTGTTTATAAACGAGTTCTTCACTGTTAAATGCATTTCAAAATAACCTTTGGTTCATTGGTTTTGTGGCCAGTTACTGAAATGCTAAATAATACATATGTTTTCCAGTGAGCTGTGCAGAAAGCTTTATGAAATGCTGGAATTTATATTATTTTGAAGGTGGTTATGGGCATTGGTATTACTCAGAATCCCTTCACTGAGGATTTCTAATGAAGTGAAATTGTGCTTTTCAACAGGAAGGCCAATAATTGATGTACCACAGGAGAACACAGGAGAAAGTTGTAGTGAGGCTGTGCACAGGTCATTAATCTTGTTAAATGGTACAATGTGATGCTATTATTGTAGCTGACAGCTGTGATTTAGGAATAACCATGTTTGTTTGAATAGTATGGAATTAGATAAAAGATTTGAGCTCACCGAGTGTTAGAAACAATCCGGGAGTGTGCAGTGGAATACAGACTCCCTGGGTATTTTTGTATGTGTTTAATCTGACTTCAGAGGCGCTCTTGTACAATCAGCAAAACCACCTGCTTGCTCCTGTCACAAGGAAGCCATGAAAATCTGTTTTCATCATTTAAGCTTTGCATGATGAGAGAAGAATTTTTATGGAATTTTATGCCTACATGGTTTTAAGAGTATCTTTAAAAATATATATTCAAACTTCAGAAACCCAAAACTAAAAGCCAATACCAAGTGCCAACCTTACAGATAATACGTTTTTCTAACTCCAGTTTTCCTTTTCCTTCCCGCAGTGTCTAAGGCAGATGGGGAAACTCATGACAGAATGCTGGGCTCACAATCCTGCTTCAAGACTGACAGCACTGCGGGTTAAGAAGACACTTGCCAAAATGTCAGAGTCCCAGGACATTAAACTCTGAATTGAGGGCAAAAAAAAGCATCTCTGGAGAAAGCCAGTAGATACTCTTCTGTTTGTGGGCAGAGCAAAAGATGTTCCAGAAGCATCCACAGTACAAGCCGTGAACATCGTCCTGCTTCCCAGTAAGTTTAGCCTCACCTCTCAGGGAGCAGCTTGGACAAAGAGAAGTTCCCAGAAACACGGATTCATCGTGTCTGTTTGTAGGAGGGAGAAACTGCTTGGGTAACTTGTTCAAGATATGATGCATGTTGCTTTCTAAGAAAGCCCTGTATTTTGGGATTGCCTTTTTTTTTTTTTCCAAAAGATGCTTTAATTTTGCCAAAATAAAACAAATAATGTAGATGTTTTAAGGTTTATACTATTATAGTTTAAATAATAACAGCAAAGTTATTCCCAGAAACTCTCCTGGAAGGTAAATTAAAATACGTGTTCCCATTGGTAAAATTTTGTTGCACTCTACCAACCAACAGTCGGTGAAGTTGGAGAACAGAATGGAACTCACCTTCCGAGCCCCTGCGCCCTGCGCCTCTTCAGACCACTCGGGCCAGGCCTGCACCGGGGCGGCCGCAGCAATGTGAATGCACCCGGGTACAAGCACCACCTGTCTGGGACCACGTTTGGGGATTCCTACAGGTGACCTTTTGCAGCTTTATAGGATATGGAACAAATGAAGGTTTTATGTGACTCTGTTAGAAGTAAATGTTGACACTATTCCTCAGAACCGCTTTGTGTTTCTGATTCTGGTAGGCTTTTTCTTTCATGGTAAAGTCCCTTCCTTTTCATTTAACACAAACAAAGCTTTTCTTTTATGGGCAGAGAATTGACCCATACATGCTTTTGATCTCTCAAATGAAGGGATCAATATTAAGTATAAAATTGCCATCAGTTGTGTTGAAGACAAGGCGCTTTAAAATAGAGATACTTTGCTCTTGTGCTGTGAGAAGATAGTGTCAGAAAGGTAGGGGATGAGGGTACAGGTGCATATGGCTTGTTTCTTCTGTACGTGGAAGAGCCCTTCACAGAAGCGCAAGGGGAAATGTATGCACAACTTATTATGTACAGACAAAGATGGTTTCTTTTTGTTATTATATGCCTTTTGTGTGTCTGAGTTAAGGGAAGGAGAGGAAACATATGTTAGGTTAATTTAACTAATTTTAATTTTAAAATAGATAAATATAACCTCCAAATGGGACAGCAGAGGAATGCTAGTGGAGGCCACAGAATGTTATGGCTGCTGTGATTTATTATTCTAGAATAGATATGGATCGAATATGTATATCTTAATATCTTATGTGATAGCTTCACATCTTAGGAATGCTGACTCAGTTTATTTTATTCTCATAATGTTCAATTCACTTTTTAATTTATTATTTTTTCTTCTCTGTGGCACTTGTGCAAAACATCTTTTCACCTATTCAATCATGTGGGGTTTTAACTTTTGAGCAACGTTAGTCAGATCATTGACAGGGCCAGTATTCCTTAGCAACAGGAACCTAATAAAGGTTAAAATTGTACACATCCCTCTCAACTTTATTCATTTACTTCCTGACTGTGGTTTTCTTTTGCTTCTTAGAAATTCTGTAGTGTTTAGTAAAGAACTGGAAAGTATCCCCCTGCCCAGCCCTTTAAAAAAAAAAAAAAAAAGATGTTCCTTCCAGAATACTCCAGGGGGCAGTGTTTTATAACACATTTTCATTTCACCACTTGGTGGCTGAAGGATGGAGGGTTTTGAAAATGTGACAGCTGCATTAAAAATGAGAAAACATTTTTCTCACTTCTCAAGTGGGCTTGCACTGGTGAGTTGTTCCTCCAGAAAAGCATCCTAGAGCAGAGACCAGCTGTGAGCTGTGCTTACGGCTTGGGAGAAGCATAAGGAGAAAGTGTTCTGTATTCAGCACTCACTCCCCAGTGCTTCATAACCACATCTCCTTTGTAACAAAGAAAGAATATTTCCTTAATCCTTGACTGTGAAAAAGGTTTCTGCTTTTTTCAAAGATTAAAAACAGTTGGTTCCAAATATAATCAGAATGCTGCTTTTATTGATATTAAGATAACCTCGATAGCAGTGTAAAGGTTCCTTTCTCTTGTGTCAAATCGTATTCTTTGTGACAGCTTAGGAGTATGTGGCTAGAGCTAAGTGTGATAGTCATCTGAGCCTAGGAGAGAAACTTCAGTGCCTCTAATCAGATTGTCTACGAAACAAATAAGTAAACATTTATGTCCGTTAAGTGGGGACATGTTCGTGTTTCTTGATTTTCCCTAAATTTAAGCGATGCTGGGCTTATCTCTTAGGTAAAAATGTGTTTCCTTTTAGGTAAGTTCTTATACATGGATAACTTCAAATCAGAATATATTATGGAGAGGTGATGATTTCAAAGTAAACTAGATTTCTAGGGAGGTGTTGGTTCCTGTGAAGAATGGGTAGAAATTAAAATAGTATCCAAATTTCTTCTCTATTATTTGTTTGGTTGCTTTGGAAAAAAATGACTAGCTTACTTTCTAATCCCCAACCTGATTTACTCACTATGAACATTTAAAAATTATTCCAGAGATACTTAAAAAGACCCATTTAGTTACTATAGTCTTTCAATGAAACAAGAATTTACTTATGAATAGAGTTTTCCTTGTATCTTACCAAAATCCACCTTGCTTAGGGAATATTAAATTGTTCTTAAAGAGACTACCTACTCACTTCCAAATAATTCATTTTGATTTTTAAATTTCTGGTAGCTCAGAAGTGAATTTTATTTTTTCGTTTTGTCTTTCAACAGAAGAGTGGGAAACTGGAAGTAATGTAGTTGATGCTTACTTTTTTTTTTTTTTTTTTTTTTTT